CATGCAGGAAGCCCTATGCGGGAGTCCATCTCCGGACTCGGGACCACGCCTAAATCAAAGGCAGCCACTCAGCTGCTGAGCCACCCAGGCGTCCCAAATTACCCTGTTTTAAAATCACTTGGCAGAGTTATTTTCTTTATAGTTGAGCCACCAACTGGATACACATTTCAGGTTTTTTTTTTTTTAATTTTATTTCTGATTTTTAGGGATTGCTTTTTTTTCCACTTAGTTTTATTTTATAATTAACTTTCAAAGTTCATAGTTTTACTAAGGACAGTCCTCATGTCAATGGTTTGGCGTTTTTTGGTATGCAATCTCTATGTTTCTGAGCTTCTTTTCTATGGACCTGAAAATGAATTAAAATAAGATCCATGTTTAATCATAATTCTGACATTTATTTGCTCTTACAGAAATCACACAATGTCTCAAACCAGTATTTCCAACTATGTGTTTCATGGACCACTCTGTAAGATGGGAAGTGGGAGGTGGGGTAGAATGTGGGGATAGGATACCATGGTCAAGTAAGTCTGAAAATGCCATATTCTCTTGGAGAATCATGATATACATAACACATAAAAGGCTCTAAAAAGACTTGGAGTAAGGAATCCTTTTTACATTAGTAGAGTCAATTTTTTAAAAGAAAATATTTGGGATCCCTGGGTGGCGCAGTGGTTTAGCGCCTGCCTTTGGCCCAGGGCACGATCCTGGAGACCCGGGATCGGATCCCACGTCGGGCTCCTGGTGCATGGAGCCTGCTTCTCCCTCTGCCTATGTCTCTGCCTCTCTCTCTCACTGTGTGCCTATCATAAATAAATAAAAATTAAAAAAAAAAGAAAATATTTTATTTATTCATGAGAGACACACAGAGAGAGACGCAGAGACATAGGCACAAAGGGAGAAGCAGGCTCCATGCAGAGCCCGATGTGGGACTCCAGGATCATGCCCTGGGCTGAAGGCAGATGCTTAACTGCTGAGCCACTCAGGCATCCCTAGAGTCAATTGTTACCAAATTTATTTATCTCTGCAACAAGACTGTCTTCATATATAAATATATTTTTTTCATATAAATATATATGAAAATATATAAATTTATTCATATATATATTTTTACAATATTTATTTCACTGAATGAAAGTTCTATAGAGCATGCTTTGGGAAATGTTGCTCTCAAGTTTTCTTGTATATCAGAAAGGGGTAATAATACCTGTTCTACGATTCTGAGTTATTGTCTGGATCAACTGGATTGGATATGAAAGATTTTTTTCTTAAAGATTTTATTTATTCATGAGAGACACAAAGAGAGAGAGGCAGAGACACAGGCAGAGGGAGAAACAGGCTCCATGCAGGGAGCCCAACGCTGTACTTGATCCGGGGTTTCCAGGATCATGCCTGGGCTGAAGGCGGCGCTAAACTGCTGGGCCATTGGGGCTGCCCAGATTTTTAGTATATAAAAGAAACTATTTTGCTAATGGCTATCATGAAACTTGGAAATGTGGGGGTTAACTCTAACTCTATCCTACTTAGGTGGGCTTATTCCTTGGAGAGGGCAAGAGTATAATGAAACTTGGAGATTGCAGAATGAAGGAAAATGACATACAAGGATCAAATTAGGAAGATGTACAGACGGGAAAAATGATTCAATTTCAAAGAGTAGCTATAGTCAGATGAATGATTTTCACATAGATTCAGGAAGCCTCTGGGCTCAAGATAGAAAAGGTTTTCCTTAGTTTCTTAGCAATCTCGGGAAGGAGCTAGAAACTACCATAAAACTATGATTTATATGAAGAAGTTTGCCTAGTGCATTGAGTATTGAGAGTACCTTTCATAAGGTATATATTGGTTTATTAGGGCTGCCATACAAAATAACCACAGATAGGATGACTTAAACAACAAAAATTTATTTTGGTACACTTCAGGAGGTCAGATGTCCAAGATCAAGGTGTCAGCAGGGTTGGCTTCTTCAGAGACCTATTTCCTTGACTATAGACGGCCATCTTCTCCCTGTGTCTTCACATGGTCTCTCCTCTGTGTATCGGCACATCTGTGACCAAATTCCTTTTCTTATAAGGACACAGTCAGATTGGATGAGGGCTTACCCTAATGACCTCATTCAAAATGCATTTACTGAGAATCTGTTATATGTACAGGCACTGGGCTTTCAGCAACAATAGTATCTACTAGAGGGAAAGAACAGAAGTAGGATGTAGATGTAGTGGTGGGGCTGTTCAGCTATGAATTAGAGGCTATGAAGTCCCTTCTACTATTTATTCAATGAACATTTTAAGTAAAAAATGTGTTAATTCTCTGCCAGAAGCTAGGCAGAAAGGAGAGAGGCTTATACCAATCTCATCATTTGAAGATGTGTATTTCTCATATATTAATATTTCTGAAATTATATTTTACAGTGATAACTGGTTTAAATGGGAGCTTTCTTACTTGTAGGTCCTTCTTACAATTGATGGAGCCAATAAAATTCAATAAAACATGATGATTTTTAGTGTGTCAAACATAGTTCTTGTCCACAAGATGCTTAATATTTGTATCTTGCAATGTACTGGATTCTCCCCTATACTTGTAATCATGAAATATCCTTCATCATCTTGTCTTTTTCCTTTTGACCTTAAATATGGGTTTATTGAGGTATGGTTGTCTATTATCTCACTGAACTGTCTCCCTTATTCTTCAGCCAAATGAAAGACTTTCATATCTCTATTTTCAACCCCAATTGTTTTTCTAGGCTCTGATTCATAACTGGTATCTACAGATTACTAATTTGTTGTCTTGCTGTCACCTCAAACTCAATATAGTGCATTGTCTTGCCCTCCAAGCCAGCTTCTCCCTAAGCTTTCCTAGATCTTTCAGATTTTCTAGTAATTCTTTTTTTTTTTTTAAGATTTTATATATTTATTCATGAGAGACACACAGAAGCAGAGACATAGACAGAAGGAGAAGCAGGCTTCCTGCAGGGAGCTTGATGTGGGACTCGATCCTGGGACCCGGCGATCATGACCTGAGCCAAAGGCTGACACTCAACCACTGAGCCACCCAGGCATCCCAGATTTTCTAGTAATTCAACATGAAACCTTGGGAGCTTTCCATGATTTTACCCTCTCCTTTGTTTCACTTCTACATATCTGTTTACCAGGACCTGTCCATTCTTCCTGTTGCACTGATTTTTTTCTTTTCTGGTTCCACTATTACCATCTCAGTCCAGGCCTTTGTCTAATCATGCATGGACTACTATAATGATTTCTATCTCTTTCTCTGATTCATCTGATAAAGTGGTTATCACCACTTTAAATTTTCTCTAACATTGTACTGTACACTTGACTCCCTGCTAAAAGTCATTTAATGGCTCCTTACTGATCATTGAATAAATTTCAAATGCCACAGCCACCACATTCAGGGCTCTTCCCCAATTATTCCTTTCCAGTTTTGTCACCTACCATCTGGAACTGCAGGAAATGTTCTGCACTTTTTAGCTGTCACAACTTTGGCTTTAACCATTTCCTTGGCCTGGAGTTCTACTCCCATCCCCTAGGCTTTCCTTCAAAGCTCAGCTGACTGCTCCAGGGAAAGCATTTCCTGATAGCTTTTAATTTAGTTTTAATTTCTTCTCTGAACTACAGTACTCAATGCATATATCAATAATCTGACATTTAGCATGTACTCCCTTCTATTGCTATTTTTTTTTTTTTTGCTTTCTATCTTTTTATGCATGAAAATGTCTTTCCAATGAAAAATCTCTTGAGGGCAGGGACTTGGTCACATTTCTCCATATTTCTAGTTTTGACAGTCTTTTATTTTTCATTCATTTTATTTTTTTTAAAGGTTTTATCTATTTATTTGAGAGAAAGAGAGAACGGGGGGGGGGGGGGGAGGTCGGCGGGGGTGGGGGAGAGGGAGGAGCAGGCTCCTTGCTGAGTGGGGGAGCCCAAATGGGGCTGGATCCCAGGACCCTGGGATCATGATCTGAGCTGAAGGCAGATGTTTAAAAGACTGAGCCGGGCAGCCCGGGCGGCTCAGCGGTTTAGCGCAGCCTTCAGCCCAGGGCCAGATCCTGGAGACCTGGGATCGAGTCCCGCGTCGGGCTTGCTGCATGGAGCCTGCTTCTCCCTCTGCCTGTGTCTCTGCCTCTGTGTCTCTCATGAATAAGTAAATAAAATATTAAAAAATAAATAAATAAAAGACTGAGCCACCCAAGTACCCCTTGACAGTCTTTTAAATATACAATAAAGTTTTTAGATCTGGAAGTTTACCTAGACTTACCACTCAATTCACAGATGAAGAAAAGTAGATCCAGAGAGTTGTGCAGACCCACTTAGTATAAAGCCATAGTCCAATATTTGCAGGTACTTATGGATTATGAATCAGAGGGGCTGGTTTATAGAGAAGGGCAGGATTCAGCAGGCAGAAATGTGTGCATTCTCTGAACAAAGGAGGGGAGGTAGTTATTTCGGGCAAGTTTGGGAAGAGGTGATCCAAGCCGTCCGACAGGAGAGGGGTAGTGGCTACTTGAGGGCAGGCAGGCCTGTTCTTCCGCACAACCCACAGGCTCTCAGAAGTGGTCGGACGCTTAATGTTTCTTGCATGAAGTGACTTACCAGCCTTAGTACATTCTTCTTCGCAGGCATGAGGCTTGAAGAGGGCGAAGCAGGTTGGCTTTCTGGCTCCTGACGGGCCCTGAGGAAGACCCACTGCCCGGTGGCGAGGATCAGCCAAGGGCTCTCCACTCTGTGGAGGGAGCCGGGACGCGCCCCTGACAGGAATCCGTGGACTAAGCAGCCGCTCAGGATTTGGCCATCATCCCGGGAAAGAAGAGCAAGGGGCTTTCCACCTGCCCCCGGCCTAACCCGGGACCGGAGGCCTCTCGGGTTCCAGCGCCGGCCGCTCCGCCTCCTAAGCCGGCCGGCCGCCTCGTCTCCGCGCCTTTCCCCGGCCCCGCCCCTCACGCCCGACGGGCTCGCTCCGGCGCCCGGCACGCGCGCGCACGCGGAAGCGGAAGGCGCGAGGGAAGCGCTCCGCCGCGGGGGCGAGCGCGCAGGCGCCTTTCTGGGAGAGCTGCGGGCGCGAATCCCGCCGTGGCGCGGGCTGAGGGGTAAGAGGCGGGGAGCCTGGGGCGTTCGGGCTGCGGGGCGGGGGTGGGCAGCGGAGGGGAGCGCAGCGGAGGGGGACTCGCGCCGCGCAGCGATCGCGCGCGCAGGTGGCAGCCGGGCTCCCTCCCCCGCTCCAGGTGTGAGAGGAGGGGCAGCTGGCGGCGCCTCCCCGGGTCAGCCTGCTGGCTCGCTGGGGGTGGGGGTGGGGGCGGGGGGCGCGTTGGCTTGGCAGCGGCCTGGGCTTCCTTAGCGCCCTTGATCCTGCGGTCTTGAGGGTCTGGGTGCTGCAGGAGCGGAGGAGAAGCGTTAGGACGCCCCCCCCCCCCCTTATGCCAGACATGCTTCTCGGGGACAGCCGCACTCACTGGGTGTCGTGCCCACTTTGGGGGACGGACCTTTCAGACTCAAAAAGAACAAATTCGGCCCTGGAATTTGTTCCGAAGCGAACCGCCGAGGTTTTGTTTTATATTTGGTTTTGACCGAAATGTACTCATCTTAGGGCAAAGTAGGAGGGAAAACTTAACCTGCCACCTGCGTGAAAACTTCGTGTCGTGTGGGTCGGTTAGAAAGTTACTGTGCTTTGCTTTGCAGATGGAAAAAGTAATACAGAGCCCTTCTTACTGTTCAAGAAGAGATCCGTTAAGCCTTATAATTAGCCACAAAGGACCCTAAAATTACTTGCCTTCTTCATCCACAGGAAGATCTCCATTCGGCAAGTATTTTAGGAGTACTTTGCTTTCTGCCACATTGTTCTAAGTGCAGGGAATAGACCTAGGGGCAAAGGCGAGAGAATCCTGCCTGGCTTGCACGAAATTTATATTCCAGTTGTCAAAGAAATATAATTTCATTTTTTAAAATGTAATTTCCTTTTATGCCTTTTTATTGGAATATAACATATGTACAAGAAAATACAGCAATCATAATTTGTAACTTGCTGATTTATCGTAAAGTAAACGCATCTTTTAACCACCACTCAAATCAAAAAACAACTTTGGGGATGCCTGGATGGCCCAGGCCTTTAAGACAAGGACTCTTGATCAGGTCATGACCTCAAGGTCTTGAGATGAGCCCAGCTTGGGGCTCCCTACTGGGCATGGAGCCTGTCAAAGATTCTCTGTTTCTCCCTCTTCCTCTGTCCCTCCCTCCCCCTCTGCCCTCTCTCTCTTAAAAACAAGACCCCCCCACCCCCCCTGCAAAGCCCCAGAACATTTACAGCTTCTTAGCCTCCCTGGAGACCTCTCCCAGTCACCATTCCTTCTTCTCCCCAAAGGTAACCTCTTTATTGATTTTTTTTTTAAGATTTTATTTATTTATTCATGAGAGACACACAGAGAGAGGCAGAGACATAGGCAGAGGGAGAAGCAGGCTCCCTGCAGGGAGCCCAATGCGGAACTCAATCCCAGGACACCAGGATCACGACCTGAGCAAAAGGCAGCCACTCAACCTCTAAGCCACCCAGGCATCCCTTTTTATTGATTTCTAACCATATATTAGTTTTATCTATTTATGAGCCTTTCATAAAAGGAACCATATAATATGTATTTTTTGGTGTCTAGCCTGTTTTTTGTTTATTTTTTTAAGGTTTTATTTTTAAGTAACCTTTACACTCAACTTGGGACTTGAACTCACAACCCTGAGATCAAGAGTCACAAACTCCCACCAACTGAACCAGCCCAGCACCCCTAGTACCTAGCTTTTTCTTTGTTTTTATTTTTAAAAAAGATTTTATTTATTTATTTATTTATTTATTTATCTATCTATCTATCTATCTATCTATCTATCTATTTATTTATTTATTTATTTTTGAGGGAGAGAGATAGCAAGAGAGATCACAGAAGGAAAGGGAGAAGCAGACTCCCCGCTAAGCAGAGAGCCTGATGGCAGGGCTTGATGCCAGGACACTGAGATCATGACCTGAGTCAAAGGCAGATGCCCAACTGACAGCCACCCAGGTGCCCCTATCTAGTTTTTTGTTTGTTTGTTTGTTTGTTTTTTTTTTTACTAAGTATTTGTGAGATTGTTCTGTGTTGTGTAAAAAGATAATTTCTGATAGTGAAAATAATTAAGGTAAATGGTTCAAACAGTAAGAGGTGGAAACTTTAATAGGATGGTTAGGGATGATCTTTGGGAGTGGGGTAGGGGTGATTTAATACACAAGAGGAATGACAAAAGGTTAGCCACTGAGCTGGGTGAGAGCATTCCAAGTAGAGGAAAGGAACAGGGATAATGAATGAAATTGACAGGTCCTTGGAAGAGTAGGAAGACCTTGGAAAGTGGGAGGAGATGAAATCTGAGAGGCTGGCAGAGGTCAGATCTTAAAGGGTCTTATGGCTGGAGTACTTGGATTTTACTCTAAGTAGAAAGTGAGGAAGAGATGTTTTTTATGCCCTTCAACTTCTACTGGGAGTCACTTGTAAAGGATGGGAAGGCCTATCCATTTTACTAAATAACAAAGAAACACCTCAAAACTGATGATCCTGGGTAACTTGCGAATTATGGAAACATTAATGTGTTGGGAAACCAACTCTTCTTTTGTATTTTCAGGATTTATATTAATTTAGCACATAATATATTTCCAAAATTGGATTTAGTAGACACTTTAAAAATTAGTCATCTGTTCTACACTTTAAAAATATTCTTTCAAGTAGTTGTTCAGTTTTCTTTTTGAACCTGTTAGAGAAGAACCCCCTTTTCAAGCTGCTTGTTTCATTTTTGGACAGCTATCATTGTTAAAAAACCTTTCCTAACGTATATATTTTTTGCTTTTTACTTGGCTAGTTGGCTAGCTGACTCAGTCGGAAGAGCATGTGACTTTTGATTTTTCAGGATGGTAAATTTGAGCCACTCATTGGGTATAGAGATTACTAAAAAAAAAATAAAACTTAAAAAAAAAAAAACCTAATTAAGCTTTTTACTTTTAATTTCATTTTTAAACTTTTTACTTTTCAATCAAAGTACACTGGTCATTGGTTCTGCATTCCTATAGGACTGACAGTTATTTATGACATGTTACCTCCCTTTCAGTATTCATGCAGTTGATTTTTATTGATTTGTTTTTTTCACATTTAAGTGCAGAGCTTTGATTTTATTTCTGTCATTTCTGGAATTAGATTTAGTTCATCATAGATGTTCAGATCTTTTTGGATGTGATTCTTTATGTTTTCCTTTCCACCATTGTGCTCTTAGCCAACTTGATCAGCAGCAAATATTAGTTAAGCATTATGTTCTTTTAAAGTTTGTTATGATTATTTGGTGTTATTGGCAGTCTTATTTTTGTTACTTTAGATTCCTGAGGAAGTACTTACACAGGATTTTCTGGAACTGTGAATTATTGATTTAACTTGGTCATATTAGTGATTTAAATTTCCTAGATGGAATATTAGTTAAGCTATATTTTCAAATCTAGGAATTCGCATTTCTAAAATCAATTTTAAACATGATATCTCAGTAAAATATAGTGTTGTATTGCAATTCTAGAATGTAGACTGCAGCATATTGAAAAGGGGCTTTTTGATGGGCATCCCCGGTGGCCCAGTGGTTTGGCGCTGCCTTCAGCCCAGGGTGTGATCCTGGAGACCCGGGATCGAGTCCCATGTTGGGCTCCCTGCATGGAGCCTGCTTCTCCCTCTGCCTGTGTCTCTGCCTCTCTCTCTCTCTCTCTCTCTCTCTCTCTCTCTCTGTGTCTGTCATGAATAAAAAAAAAAGGTGGTGGGGCTTTTTGGATTAGACTAAAAAAGAATTTGAGGGTGCCTGGAGTGGCTCAGTGGGTTAAGGATCCGACTTTAAAAAAAATTGTTTTTTAAGATTTTATTTATTCATTTATGGGAGACAGAGAGAGGCAGAAACATGAGCAGAGGGAGAAGTAGGCTCCTGATATGGGACTCAGGACTCAATCACAGGACCCAGGATCATGACCTGAGCCAAAGGCAGCTCAGCCATTGAGCCACCGAGGTGCCCCAAGGGTCCAACTCTTGATCTCTGCTCAGGTTTTGATCTTAGGGTCGTGAGTCCAGGCCTCATGTTGGGCTTCATACTGGGCGTGGAGCCTACTTAAAAAAAAAAAAAAAGAGAATGAGTAGTTTATAATAGACTTGTATGAAATCAAGAATCAACATTGGAAAGGGATTGAATTTTAAGTTTTCCCCTTACTTTGCCTCTGTGATAGAAGTTCTAGTGAATAGTAAAATGATTAAAAATGGATGCTGTAGGAGGGAGGAAAGGGCATGTATATAATCCAAATTTGCATGATATATTTACATAGCCTTATTTACTACTTTGAGTCATTCTACCTAATTGAGATGCTGGACTTCATTAGTTCTAGAGTTGACCTTTGCGATATTTAAATAAGAGAATAATTTTTATCACTATATTGTATACTTGAAACTGATATAACGCTGTCTGTTAACTATACTAGAATTAAAATGAAAAACTTAAATAAAAAATAAATAAAACTAACATGTTTTATTACATCCTTAAAAAAATTTTTTTTTGCCCAGTAGGTGGAATGTGCCAATTTTCTCCTAGTATTTACAGTTGGCTATTGTATTTTTTTGGTTATATTTAAAGTATATCCTGTGGTGCATAATTGTGGCCCATAATTTCTCAAAGCTTTTTGCTTTTATTTATTTTATATTTTTAATTTTTTTAAATTTTATTTATTTATACATGAGAGAGACACACAGAGAGAGGCACAGACACAGGTAGAGGGAGAAGCAGGCTCCATTCCATGCAGGGAGCCTGACAGCGGGATTCAATCTCGGTTCTCCAGGACCACACCCGGGACTGAAGGTGGCGCTAAGCCACTGAGCCACCCGAGTTGCCCAAAGCTTTTTGCTTTTAAACCATCCAACCCAAGGAAAAAACTGAAAAAAAAAAAAAAAAAAAGAAGGATATAGTTAATTGCATTTTACTGCTTTTTCTCTTAAGACTTGGGTTTCCAGTCTTAAAAGTTATTATCCTAGAGGAGAACACAGGCAGCAACCTTTTTGAACTTGGCTACAGTAACTTCTTGCAAGATATATCTATGAAGACAAGGGAAACAAAAGCAAAAATGAACTCTTGGGACTTAATCAAGGTAAAAAGCTTCTGCACAGCCAAAGAAACAGTCAACAAAACTAAAAGACAACCTACAGAATGGGAGAAGATATTTGCAAATGACATATCAGAAAAAGGGCTAGTGTCCCAAGATATATAAAGAACTTACCAACTCAACACCCAAGAATCAATCCAATCATGAAATGGGCAGAAGACATGAACAAAAATTTCACTAAAGAAGACATACACATGGCCAACAAGCACATGAGAAAATGCTCCGCATCACTTGCCATCAGAGAAATACAAATCAAAACCACAATGAGATACCACCTCACACGAGTGAGAATGGTGAAAATTAACAAGACAGGAAACAACAAATGTTGCAGAGGATGTGGAGAAAAGGGAACTCTCTTGCACTGTTGGTGGGAATGTGAACTGGTACAGCAACTCTTGAAAACAATGTGGAAGTTCTCCAAGAGTTAAAAATAGAGCTACCCTATGACCCAGCAATTGCACTACTGGGGATTTACCCCAAAGATACAGATGCAGTGAAACGCTGGGACACCTGCACCCCAATGTTTATAGCAGCAATGTCCACAATAGCCAAACTGTGGAAGGAGCCTCTATGTCCTTCGACAGATGAATGGATAAAGAAGATGTGGTCTATATATACAATGGATTATTACTCAGCCATTAGAAACGATGAATACCCACCATTTGCTTCGATGTGGATGGAACTGGAGGGTATTATGCTGAGTGAAATAAGTCAGTAGGAGAAGGACAATCATTGTATGGTTTCACTCATTCATGGAATATAAGAAATAGTGAAAGGGATTATGAGGGAAAGGAGGGAAATTGAGTAGGAAAAATTAGAGAGGGTGACAAACCATGAGAGACTCCTAACTCTGGGAAACAAACAAAGGGTTGGGGAAGGGGAGGCAGGGATTGAGGGATGGAGTAACTGGCTGATGGGCACTGAGGAGGGCACTTGATGGGATGAGCACTGGGTGTTACTATGTGTTGGCAAATCAAACTTAAATAAAAACATGTAAAAAAAATACCAAATCATTATGGCATAAAAAAAAAGACGGGGTTATTAGTTCTTGTAGAGGTTCATTCTATAAGATAGATGTGGTTAGTGAAAGTATATTTTGGAAGAAAAGTAAAAATCAAACTACATAAATTAGTAGAATACTTTCTGAAACTAAATAGAAAGGTAAAATTCCTCTTCCTCTCTGTACCAAAGATAAATCATGCCTTTTAAACTATATTTTTTTACATGTAGGTAAACATGCTTTAGATGGAATTGACTCTGCTATCTATATATCTGTTGTTTTTCTTTGTTACCTTGTAAGAACCAGTCCTTACCACATCTTTACTACATATATTGAATCCCATTTAACAACATGGAGAGCTGCCTTTTGAGGTATATTTCCCAACTAGAGGACTAGGGAATAAAGAACTTAAAACTACCCACTTTGCTTCTTGCTGACACCCATTTCTTCATCTTCCTACTTGGTTTAATGAGTTCTTTGTTGTACCATGCTCAGCTAAATCTTGGTCTTTCTTTTTTTTCCCTCCAGGCTACTTCTTCATAGACCTAAAAGTCAGTATTAACTGGAAATGAAGTATCACTTAAAATTCTCTCAAACTCCTAATCCCAAAGAATTTGATAACATTTCTCTGATGAAGAAAAGAAGTAACTGACTATGCATTAAAAGTATTTTGGCATTGGTCCTATTTTTTTCCCTCCTTAGGTTTGAAGAAGAAATATGGAGAAATGGCACTTGATGACAATTGTGGTCTTAATAGGACTAACAGTACGGTGGACAGTTTCTCTTAATTCTTATTCAGGTAACACATCTTTACTCTTTATTTATTTTTTTATAAAGATTTTATTTATTTGTCATGAGACACACACACACACACACAGAGGCAGAGGGAGAAGCAGGCTCCATGCAGAGAGCCCGATGCGGGACTCGATCCCAGGTCTCCAGGATCACACCCTGGGATGACGACGGCATTAACTGCTGAGCCACCCAGGCTGCCCCATCTTTACTCTTTAAAAGATGGATATATTCCTTTAAACAGTTTTGTCCTCCTCCTCCTTTTTGTAATAGTTTATAGATATCTGACTGGGACGGAAGAATTTTTTTTTTTTAAGATTTTATTTGTTTATTCATGAGAGACACACAGAGAGAGAGAGGCAGAGACAGGCTGAGCTAGAAGCAGGCTCCATGCAGGGAGCCTGATGTGGGACTCAATCCTGGGACTCTAGGATCATGCCCTGAGCCGAAGGCAGGCGCTAAACTGCTGAGCCACCCAGGGATCCCATGGGACAGAAGAATTTGAGGCAATTTTGATATGGTCAAGAAAATAAACATTGAATCTAGTGAAAATAATATGTGTAAGAGCTAAATAGAAGCATAGGCTTTATGACATGAGAAAACAAAAATGTATTTTAATGGGGAAGATGACAAGTTGATAAATGATTACATATTAAGTATCAAAAAGAGAACTGAGCTAGTACCTGAAGGTGGGAGTGGAATCAAAAGAGGCTTTTGTTTAGGGTAGAGAGGCCGTGTTACTAGACTGAAAGGAAGAGAGGAATGGAGAATAAGACTGGGAATGATGTAAGAGAAGAGGAGGGAGAATTAATGGTACATGGTCCTGGACAGGGGATAGGATTATATTCAATCCTGTATTTATTTAGCACTGCTCATGGTCCAGGCACTGCTAGGTGCTAGAGTACATGAATATCCAGTACTGAAAAGTGTCCACATTTTAGTAGGTAAGTGGTCACAGGACAATGTGGTAATTATGACTAGAAGTCTTTGTAAAGTACAAAGGTCACATAGAGAAGTGAATGATCAAGTTGCATTAGAAAAAACTTTTCAGAGAAGATGACATTTGAGTTCAAGGTTGAAGCATGAGTTGGAACTTGCTAGGCAAATGAAATAGGGAACATGGGCAAAAGGATGGTAGAGTGAGAGCATGGTTTTATTTATTTATTTTTTTAAGATTTTATTTATTCATGAGAGAGAGAAAGAGAGAGAGAGGCAGAGACACAGGCAGAGAGAGAAGGAGGCTCCATGCAGGGAGCCTGACATGGGTCTCAATCCCGGGTCTCCAGGAGCACAACCAGGGCCCAAGGCAGGTGCTAAACTGCTGAGCCACCCAGGGATCCCCGAGAACATCGTTTTAAGTAGTCCGTATTGGAGTATAAAAAGAAGGAACAAAACGATGCGGAGGGAGCGGCTGGAGATTTAGCTAAACACTGTGCTTGGCAAATTACTTGTGTTTTAGAAAAATAACTTTGTAATAATGCACAAGGTTTATAGGAAGCAGGTTGGAGGTAAAGAGACAAATGACATAATCATAATAATAGAAATATGAGCTATTTTAAGTATTTACCATATGCTAGACACTAAGCATTTTTTAAAATTTTAATTTTATTTATTTTTTTAGCATTTTCTTTTACTTACCACACTACTGAAGATAGGTATTGTCTCTAATTTACAAGTGGAAAGTAAGACAGCTGATAAATGACAACTGGGACTCAAATATAGTTGTATTTTATTCCAAAATCAGTGCTTTTATGACACCACTCTGTGCTTCTAAGAAGTCCTAAACTAAGCTATTTAAAAGATAGATAAATGAATCTGAGAAATAATGAGGAAGTAAAATCACTTGGATGCAGCAGTAGACTTGGGCTCAAATCTTCATTTTTCTTTGCTTGTTAGCTGCCGGATCTTGGGGTAGTTATTTAATCTCTATGAACCTCTTTTACAAAGGTACTTCTTCTACAAAGTGGGAATATTAATATATATTTTAACAGGGTTGTGGGGATTACTTGAGATCATATGTATGAAACATATTTTCTTTTTTGGTAATGTAGGAATATAATCAGCATATTAATGCTTCACAACTGTTCTGTTATTTGATCCTTACATCAGATCATTTAACCCCAGAATGTTTATTGAGTGTCTGCTTTGCGGGCAAAAATACTTTACTGGTGATCAAGTCTTTCAGTCTGGCTTTCAGGGTGACCAAGAATAATAAATGGTATTTTCTTATGATATTGTGGTTTATAAGAAATATATATTTGGTCTTTGTCCTTCTTCTGGCACAGAGCCTCTAAAAACCTTGGGATTTTCTAAGTGAAAGTGATAAAGTTGTCTTTTGCTATGGTAATGACTGGCTTTTGGACCCATCTATGGATGGGGACTGGTTGCCTGGAAAACCTAATTGGGTCTTTAGAGGGTTGGAACCTTCAGTCCCACCCTCTGATTTCCAGGGAGGGGAGAGAGGCTGGAGGTTGAATCAGTCACCAACGGCCAGTGATTAATCAATCATGCTTTTGTAATAAAGCCTTCATAAAAACCCCAAAGTAGGATGGAGCTGGTGAACACATGGAGATTCAAAGGGAATTGAAGCTCAGCGCTCTTTCCCCATACCTTGCCCTTTGCATCTCTTCCATTTGGCTGTTCTGAGTTACATCTTTTTATAATAAACTGATAATCTAGTAAGTAAATGTTTCTCTGAGTTCTGAGAACTGCTCTAGGAAATTAATCAGACCAAAGGAGGAGGTTGTGGGAACATCTGCCAGTCAGTCAGAAGCACAGGTAACAGTTTAGACTTGCAGTTGTCATCCAGGGTTGGAGGAGGTTGTTGGAACCTCTGATTGATAACTAGTTGGCCAGAATTTGGGCTTATGACTGGCCTCTGACATGGAGGGTGGGGGCAATCTTATAGTACTGAACCCATAACCTGTGGAATCTGATAGCATCTCTTGGGCAGATAGTGTTAGGATTGAGTTGTAGATATGGAGTTGGTGTCTGAGAATTGCTTGTTGCATGTGTAGGGGAAATCCCCCCTATCCCCACACTGTAATTGGGTCCCTGAATCATCCTTTTATTTCCCTACGGATGTTCAGAGTCAAGTGGATAGAACAGACTTGTAAATATGTACTATATAAAAATATAGTGTGATATAAACAAAGTAGACTGGAACACAAGAGACTTGTAATTCAGACGAGAGGCTTGGAGTAGGGATGCCTGGTGGCTCAGTCAGTTAATCATCTTCCTTCTGCTCAGATCATGATCCTGGGATCCTGGGATGGAGCTCCCCATCCAGCTTCCTGCTGGAGGGTGGCGGGGGGGGGGGGGGCTGCTTCTCCCTCTCCATCTGCCACTCCCCCTGCTTGTGTACTCTCTCTCTCTCACAAATAAATAATATCTTTTTTTTTTTTTTTTAAAGAAAGGCTTAGATTAGAGTAAAACAATGATAACACGTTTGTTCTGAAAGAGGTTGAGGGAGGATTTACTAGGCAGATACGGAGGCGGGGAGACTATTCCAGGGACAGGAAATAGCATGAACAAAGACCAAGAGTTCTCTGTGATATGTTGAGGATGTTAGTGTGACTGGAATACAGGGTGCATGGTTAAGATGGACCATCGATGATGATGTAGGAATAAAGGGGCCAGAATGTGAGCCAAAGTAATGTGTGAGGGTTTATCTTTTAGGCAGTGGAGGCTTTTAAGCAGGGAATTCACATGATCTGGTATGCTGTTTAAGAAGACAACTATAGAGGCAGCATGGAATTTGGAGTAGAACAAGGAGGGGCTGATGGTAGCAAGACCATACTGGCAGCATATATGTGCTGTGGCCTTACATCAATTTATAACACTTATTTGAAGTGTTGCACAAAGCTGGTTGCAGCGGTCTAGGCAAAGGATGATGAGGCCTGTCTAAGTGACTAATTTTGAGAGCCACATTGAATAAAAATCAACAAAATGTAATGACAAATTGTGTGTGGGGATAAGAAGGAAGATTTTGACAGTGAGTTTGGTTTCTAGTTCGGAGATCCTGAGACTTGAAAACATAGCAGACTCAGTGGGGAAGGTAATGAATGAATTCCATTTTGGATATGTTAAAGGTTGGGTACATTTCAGTCATATAAAAAAGGGTCAGGGATCCCTGGGTGACTCAGCGGTTTGGTGCCTGCCTTCGGCCCAGGACGTCCCAGGATCGAGTCCCACATCAGGCCCTGCATGGAGCCTGCTTCTCCCTCTACCTATGTCTCTGCCTTTCTCTCTCTTTGTGTGTCTCTCATGAATAAATGAATAAAATCTTTTTTTTAGAAAAAGGGTCAATTGTGAGACATAGAATTTGGTTGGGGGCACAAGAAGACATAAATCCACTTTCAGCTGGTCACAAAGAGCAACAGTTTAGGCCCTGGCTTCATACTTCAGTGCAGCTCTATGATGAATAAGTTGGGTCAACTGCAGGAATCCTTTTATCTTGGCTAGAACCAAAGTAGGCAGGTCCTATTTTCATTCAGTATCTCTCTAAGCTCACATACAACCTTAGCTCTTAACAAAGTGCAAGAGATGAACCAGAAAACATTTGTGTCCTTTTTTTTTTTTAAGATTTATTTATTTATTTATTTATTTATTTATTTATTTATTTATTTATTTATTTATTTATTTATTTATTTATGATAGACCTAGAGAGAGAGAGGCAGAGACACAAGCAGAGGGAGAAGCAGGCTCCATGCAGGGAGCCCGATGTGGGACTCGATCCTGGGACTCCAGGGACCCAGGGCCAAAGGCAGGCGCCACACCGCTGAGCCACCCAGGCTCAAATTTCATCTCAGTCATCCATTCTAAGCTGTTTTTAGTATTCAGGCAGTTCTCAAAGGAAAGGGTCCCTGTTACCCCACATACTTCACAACTTTTGGTAGTATTAAGATTTTGAATTTTTGCCTCCCTGGAGTGTGTGAAATATTTTATTATGCTTTTAATTTGACTTTCCTTCATTACTAAAAGCTTAAACCTATTTTCCTGTTTACT